TTTTTTTTTTTAACCCCTTATACTCCTCTGTGTTGATCTATTTTGTTTCTTAAATTCCACATTTGTGTGAAAAGATATGGCATTTGTCTTTCACTGACTGACTTATTTTGCTTAGCATAATATACTCTAGCTCCATCCACATCATTGCAAATGGCAAGATTTCATTTCTTCTTATGGCTAATAGTCCATTGTGTGTGTGTATGTATGTGCGTGTGTGTATGTATATGTGTACACATAAATACACACCACATCTTCTTTATTCATTCATCAGTTGATGGACATTTGGGCTGTTTCCATAGTTTGGCTCTTGTTGATAGTGCTGCTATAAACATCGGTGTGCATGTGCTCCTTCAAATTGGTATTTTTGTGTCCGTTGGGTAAATACCTACTAGTGTAATTGCTGTGTTGGAGAGTAGTTCTATTTTTAACTTTTTGAGGAACCTCCATGCTGTTTTCCGGAGTGGCTGCACCAGTTTGCATTCCCATCAACAATGTAAGAGGTTCCCTTTTCTGTGCATCCTCGCCAACATCTGTTACATCCTGTATTGCTAATTTTAGCCATTCTGACAGGTGTGAGCTGGTATTTCATTGTGGTTTTGATTTGTATTTCCCTCATGATGAGCGATGGTAAGCATCTTTTCATGTGTTTGTTAGCCATCTGGATGTCTTCTTTGGAAAAATATCTACTCATGTCTTCTCTCCCTTTCTTCACTGGATTATTTGTTTTTTGGGTGTTAAGTTTGATAAGTTCTTTGTAGATTTTGGATACTAACCCTTTATCCGATAGGTCATTTGCAAATTATCTTCTCCAATTCTGTAGGTTGCCTTTTAGTTTTGTTGAGTGTTTCTTTCATTGTGCAGAAGCTTTTTATCTTGATGAAGTCCGAATAGTCCATTTTTGCTTTTGTTTTCCTTGCCTCTGGCGACATGTCTAGTAAGAAGTTGCTATAGCTGATGTCAAAGAGGTTGCTACCTGTGTTCTTCTCCAGGATTTTGATGGTTTCCTGTCTTACATTTAGGTCTTTCATCCATTTTGAATTTATTTATTATTATTAGTTTTAATGTTTGTTTATTTTTGAAAGAGAGAGAGAGAGAGAGGGAGACAGAGGATTCAAAGTGGGCTTTGTGCTAATAGCAGAGAGCCTAATGAGGGGCTCAAACTCACAAACTGTGAAATCATGACCTGAGCTGAGGTTGGACACTGAATATACTGAGCCATCCAGGCATCCCTTGAATTTATTTTTGTGTGTGGTGTAAGAAAGTGGTTTAGTTTTATTCTGCATGTTGCTGTCCGGTTTTCCCAACAATGTTTGTTGGAGTCTGGCTTTTTTCCACTGGATATTCTTTTCTGTTTTGTCGAAGCATTATTTTTTTATCTTTTAAAAATTTTTTTAAATTGTGGAAAAAATAAGAAAATTTATCATTTTAACCATTTTTTAAATGTTTATTTATTTATTTATTTTGAGAGAGAGGGAGAGAGAAAGCATGAGTGGTGGAGGGGCAGAGAGAGAGAGAGGCAAAGAGAGAATCCCAAGCAGGCTCCATGATGTCAGTGCAGAGCCTGATGTGAGGCTTACACTCATGAACCATGAGATCATGACCTGAGCCAAAATTAAGAGTTGGATGCTTAACCAACTGAGCCACCCTAGCACCCCATTTTAACCACATTTCTATTCATTCATTCATTCATTCATTCATTCATTCATGAGAGCATGCAAGTGAGTAAGGGGTAGAGAGAGAGGGAGAGAGAGAGAATCCCACCAGGTGCAGAGAGAGAGTGCAGATCCTGGAGTGTGATTCAAGCTCATCTGATACAGGGCTTGAGCTCACGAACTGTGAGATCATGACCCCAGTTGAAGTCGGAGGCTTACCCAACTGAGCCACCCAGGCATCATATTTACAACAATTTTTGATGCCAGATGTGTGTGGATTTCCTCCACCCATCAATCCTCTGTGACACCAACTGGGTATCCTACAATTTAATTCAATTCTGACACTACTTGGAAATAGTGTCAGATCCCACAAGTTAAGGGCGCAGTCACACAAGACTGCTTCCACAGCACTTCAAATGCCAGTCACAAGTCCAGCTGTCACTTTGCTTGTGATGAACTGGTTATAAATCTGAAGTTCCACAGCTTCACCCCTCCCCACCACAGGTTCAATTAATTTATGCTAGAGCTACTAAGAGAACTCAGGGAAACACTTATATTTATCAGTTTATTAAAGGATTTGACAACATAACACCACTGAAGAGCCAGATGAAGAGATACATAGGGCGAGGCCTGGGAGGGTTTCATAGACCAAATAATATAACAAAAGATGCTCCTATCACCCAGTAAATTACAAGGGTGTCAGAGTTCTAGGCCAGGAACTGGGGGCAGAAACCAATATATATATATATTTTTTGTTCTTTCACAGTCATTAAGGGTCATCCATGTAGCATGTGTCAATTTCTTTTTTAAGACTGAAAAATATTTCATTGTATATACCTCATTTTGTTTATCCATTCACTTATTGATGGGACACTTGAATTGCTTCTATCTTTTAGCTGTTGTGAACAATGCTGCTATAAACACAGTGTACAAATCTCTCAGGAGTAAACTGTTTTATTTTGATTTTTTTGATTTTTTAAAATAAGTTTGTTTATTTTGATTGAGACAGAGCACTAGTAGGGGAGGGGCAGAGAGAGAGAGAGAGAGAGAGAGAAAGGGAGAGAGAGAATCCCAAGCAGGCTCTGTGCTGCCAGCTCAGAGCCCAGCGTGTGGGGCTGGAACCCACGAAACCGCTCACATGACCTGAGCTGAAACCAAGAGTCGGTTAACTGACCAAACCACCCAGGCACTCCAGGAAAACAGTGTTTTAAACTGACTACATATATAGTCATGTTTACATCCTTGTGAGATAGCTATTATTACGTCTATTTTCAGGTAAGGTAACTAATGAAGAGAAGATAAATAATTTATTTGTCTAGATTGATACTGTTTTGTATTAAATAATTTTAACTTTTGTGTCTAGTTAGATTAAATATAAACCCTGTTAATAAGATGTCTGACTCTTCCCTAAAAATTTCCATGCAGCAATTCATCGGGAGCAAGTTGTAATCCCTTTCAATTATTATAAATATGGTAACTTCAAAATCACAGGTCCTATTTAACTTGGCATATAATAATTTCTATTGTTTTTTTTAAACTCTTTGAAAAATTTTATAATTATATACGCTTTAGGATCTCAAAATGTTGGTTTCCGGACTAAATTTACCTTGCGATTTTTAAATATCTTTCTTCTATTTTTTTGGTAGACTTAATTTCTACACTAGCAAAAGAGCCAGGTGGGTTTGTAGACTGCACTTGTTTTCCTCTGTGAATTACTATGAATTTGGCCAATCATCTTGAAGTTTTAAATAAAAACAAACTTAAATGCCTCTTAATTATCATATTGTTATACTTAGTATTAAATTCCATTTTTCCCCCACCAGTGGAAAAGAAGCCTAAGAAATAAGGTCCTCTCTCTAGACCATAAAAGTAGAAAAAGTGTTCGTGGGCGTCCTGTCACCTCTAACACATCACCAGAAAGGTAAGATATATGTGTGTATGACATAGGATGGGCTTATATTGTGTATAAATAGTGTGACTGACCATGGTGATTCATTTAGGTTCTTTGGATCTCAGATACATAATTTTGAAATACAAGGACTGAATTCAGTGTCCTCTAAGGTTCAAGTGTGAACTTTCTGTGATTCTAAGTCATCTTAACTCTTTTCTTTTTGTGCATTTGGAACATCTTGATAAACTTTAGCTGATAAAACAATAGTTACATATAGACTTGATTATAATGCTTGATTCATTATTTGTGGTCTGCAGTAAAAAAGATGCTGAATTTAGCACTTAGTGTTAGTAAATTATGATTATACTAGAGTTAAATATTTGGGAGATTCAAATTGCAGTTATCAGAAGGAATTTAGAGCATTTCAGGATTGGATATTTGTAAATAATTAAAAAATTGTTCTATAAAAGAGTGTTGAATTGTCTTTTATGGAATAGTGAATGAATAAAAAAAATGAGTGTAGCAAAGTAAAAGTTGTAATTATTGGGAGGTCACACAAATTAGAAGACTAATTGAAGTTCTTAAATTTATGTCAGAGCACTTTGTAAGGTACTTAGTCTTATTCTCCCTTTTCGAGTAAATTGTCTATAGGAAATGAAAAACATTGGTATTCCATATCCTTATCACTACTTAATTCCCTTCCTCCCTCCCTCCCTCCCTCCCTCCCTCTCTCCCTTCCTTCCTCCCTCCCTTCCTTCCTTCCTTCCTTCCTTCCTTCCTTCCTTCCTTCCTTCCTTCCTTCCTTCCAATGTCCTTGTGGGTGTAAACCTGTGTCTCATTGTGGTTTTGATATGCATTTCCTAATGACGTTTGTCTTTTTATGTGTTTGTTGGTGATTTTTATATCTTCTTTGGAGAAATGTCTACTTAGATTTTTGCCATTTTAAAATTGTGTTGATATGTTTCTGTTGAGTTGTAAGACTTCTTTATATATTCTGTATACAAGTCTTTAACAGATATATGGTTTGCAAATATGTTCTCCCATACAGCTTTTCACTTTTTTGATGTTGTCTTTTGAAGCACAGAGGTTGTTTTCATTTTGATGAAGTCCCATTTATCTATTTTTCTTTTGTCATGGTGCTTTTTGGTGTCATGTCTAAACTATTGCCTAATCTCAGGTTAGAATGACTTATTCTTGAGTTTTCTTCTAAGGGTTTTAAGGTTCTAGTTATTAGAGTTAGGTCTTTTATTCATTCAGAATTAATTTTTGGATATGATATGAAATAGGCATCCAAATTTATATTTTTGTTTGTGAATATGCAATTGTCCTAGCACCATTGGTTGAAGAGGTACCAATGTTTTGGGGTAACTTTGATGAAAATCAATTGCCTACAAATATAAGGGTTTATTTCTGGATTTGGAATTTTATTCCATTGATCTATATGTTTGTCCTTATGCCATTACCACTGTGTCTTGATTACTATAACTTTGCATTAAGTTTTGAAATTAGAAAGTGAGAGTCTTCCAGCTTTATTGTGTTTTTCAAAATTGTTTCAGTTGTTCTAGATTTGTTGCATTTTCAGTTGAATTTTGAATCAGGTTGTCAATTATAACAAAAAAGCCAATAAGGATTTTGAGAGAGGATGTGTTAAATCTGTAGACTAATTTGGGGAGTTTGGCCATCTTAATATTAAGTCTTCTGATTCATGAACATGAGATATCTTTCCATTTAGATCCTTTTTAATTTCTTTCTGCAGCTTTTGGTAATTTATTTTCTTCTTTT